TTGGCAAAGATGAAAACACTGAAGGAGAGAATGAAAACACTAAAAGCAAGGTGGGTGGGAAGGAGTTTCAAATCATCTCAATTTATTAGAATAATGGACCCAAATGAAAAAATTAGATATATACAGTATAATTCTGTTCCAAACTTGAAAAAGTATATGCGACCCTCAGAAAAATGATTCTGTTCTGTATCACCAGCTAATGCCTAAACATTTTCAGTAACAGAGAACACCCAACATGCAGAGGAAGCCGTCACCTTGCCCCTCCATCTACTTGGAGAGACAGCTCCAACTAGATATATAATTTTACCTGTTTAGGTTTAAAAGGAATCAGTTACAGATACAGGGGATAGACAAGATCTAGCTGTCACTAGTTCTTGATTTAGATGACTTAATAGAAATCAACTGCTAAGCGACTTAATTATTTTTGCACGTGCAGGCACACCTCATTTTGTTGAGCTGCACTTTATTCCACTTCACACGTAATTGCGTCGTGTACAAATTGAAGGTCTGTGGAAATCCTGAGTTAAGAAAGTCTACTGGTGTCATTTCTGTAACACCACATGCTCATTTCATGTCTCGGTGTCAGATTTTTCTAATTCTTAAAATATTTCAAACTTATTTATTATTATGACATTTTTTATGGTGCTCCATGAGCAGTGATCTTTGATGTTGCTATTGTTGGTTTTGGGTTCCACACTGCACCTTTGCACATTATTGAAATCAGGCCCGTTAGTAATCCTATGATGGTCACCAAATGTCAAGGGAAAGGAAGAGACTTGTACATCTCTCACTTTAAATCAAAAGCTAGATGATTAAGCTCAGTTTGAAAGTGGAGAGAGGGTGAAAGATAGGCTTCTTGCAATAAATAGCCAAGTGGTAAATAGAACAGAAAATTTCCTGAAGGAAATTAAAAATGTTACTCCTGTAAACACGTGAATGGCAAGAAAGTGGAACAGCTTAATTGCTGATATGTAGAAAATTTTGGTTCTCTGGACAGATCAAACCAGATACAACATTCCCATAAGCCAAAGTCTAATCCATAGCAAGGCCCTACTGCTCTTCAACTCTATGAAGCTGGAGAGAGGTGAGGAAGCTACAGCAGAGAAGTGTGAAGCTAGCAGATGTTGGTTCATGAGGTTTAAGGAAAGCAGCCATCTCCATCACGTGGAAGTGCAAGGTGAAGCAGCAAGTGCTGATGAGGAAGTTATCCAGAAGACCCAGCCAAGATAATTGATGAGTGTGAGCAAACTAAATGACAGATTTTCAATGTAGACGAAACAACCTTCCAGTGGAAGAAGATGCCTTGTAAGATCATCACAGCTAAGAGAAGATTTCAAAACTTCAAAGGACTGCCTGATTCTTTCTGTTTCAGGATAACATAGCTGGTGATTTAGAGTTGAAGCCAATGCTCATTTACCACTCTGGAAATCCTAGATCCTCTAAGAACTGTGCTAAATATACTCAGTCTATGATCTACAAATGGTACAGCAAAACCTGGATGGCAGCACATCTGTTTACAGCATGGTTCACTGAGTATTTTAAGCTCATTTTTGAGACAGACTATTCAGAAAAAAAGATTCCTTACAAAATATTATTACTCATTGACAATGCACCTGTTCACCCTAGAGCTCTGATGGAGCTGCACAAAAAAGATCAATATTGTTTTCAGTGTTGCCTGCTAACACGACATTCAACTTGCAGCCCATGAATCAAGAGTATATTTCTACTTTTCAGTCTTAGAACTGAAGCAATACATTTCATAGGGCTGTAGCTGCGTTGGAGAGTGACTCCTCTGATGCATCTGGGAAAAGCAAGTTAAAACCATTCTGGAAAAGAGTCACCATTCTAGGTGTCACTGCAGACATTCATGATTTGTGGGGAAGAGGTCAAAATAAGAACATTGACAGGAGTTCGGGAGAAGGTTCTTATCTCTTACGGATGACTTGGAGGGGTTCAAGACATCAGTGGGGGAAGGAACTAAAGACGTAGTAGAAACGGCAAGCGAGCTAGAATTAGAAGTGTGGACTAAATCACTACAATTTCATGATAAAACTTGAACAGGGCAGAATTTGTTTCTTATGGATGAGTTTTAAAAAGTGGCTTCCTGAGATGAGACCTGCTCTTGATGAAGATGGTGTAAACGCTGTTGAAATGACAACAAAGGATTGGGAATACTGTATAAACCCGGTTGATAAAGCAACAGCAGTGTTTGAGAGGACTGACTCAATTTTGAAAGAACGCTACCGTGGATAAAACGCTATCAAACACCCTTTCATGCCAGAGAGAAATCTTTTGTGAAAGCAAGAGTCCATTGATGGAGCAAACTTAACTTTGTCTTATTTTAAGAGATTGTCAACCTTCAGCAACCACTACCCCTGATCAGTCAGCAGCCTTAACACCGAGGTAAGACCCTTCACCAGCAAGGTTATGATTCACTGAAGACTTGGGTGATAGTTAGCACCTTTTAACAATAAAGTACTTTTTAAAGTAAGGCATATACATTTTTTAAAGATGGTTTAGTGTTAACATAAATGTTATGTCCACTGAGAAAAGAAAACATTCGTATGACTTACTGTATTGTGATATTTATTTTACTGGGGTAGTCAGAATTTGAACCTGTAATTCCAGGCATGTGTGTGTTGCCAGTCCATTCACAGGATTTTTTCCTTCAATTTGTAGTGCGCAAACTTTAAGGGACACAGAGAGAAGTTGGAGTGTACTTAGGAAGAGCTGGCTGAGAGCTGGAGGTCTAACTTGGAGAGCTGGAGGTCTAAGTTTGAGAGATGAAGATGCTATTTGGTCTATGAGAACATTGAAAGGAATACAAGAGCCGGTTGTGGAATGGACAGTATGATGAACAGAGCCATCCCCTTAAACAAGAATGCTCCAATACCCAAACAGTGCCATAGGGGACAACCCAGCAGTGCAGGAGCTGAGGACGCTGCCTTCAAATTTCACTTGACTTGTCTTCCAGAAGAATAAGCTATCATTCAAAGTGTCTAAGGAGAGGTAGGAAACTACTGCTGGGGAACAATACTCAGCCAAAAGTTGCTCTTGTGCAAAAAAAAAGAGTGGGGGGAGGGAGGATGATTGGTGGGATCATGCCTATGGTTCATCCTATAAGGGTACATGTGAATCTCTAAATGTAGAATATAAATGTCTTAACACAATAACTAAGAAAAAAACATGAAGGCTATGTTAACCAGTTGGATGAAAGTATTTCAAATTGTATACAGAAACGGTACACTGTACCCCATGAGAGTATTAATGTACAATGCTATGATTTAATAAAAAAAAAAAAAAAAAGGAAAGTTGTGGGGAAGGAAGAAAAAAGAATAACAGCAACAACCTTCAGATTTTTGTGAGAATCAAATAAAAAAAAATACATCTAAGTGTGCAGAAAACTGCATAGCAGTGACTCACTGCAAGAATAAAAGATGGCATGCAGAGGGTTCCCCTAACCAGAAACATGCTAGACTCTGACATGTGACGTCTATTCTGAACTTTGGAGCCCAGGATTTCATCTTCTTCAAAGCTAAGCTAATTAATTCTGTTTCAGCATCAAGGTTTAAATTGTTTTGAATTATAACGTAGAAATGATATCTCCTCTTCTCTCATGGTGTATCTTAAACCCTGTAAAGATGCAGTCCTGTGATGGCCCAGAGTTAAATCCTTTAATAGTACTTGACTAAAAATTTTCCTCCCTTTCACTGTTCATCTCTTGGATAAAAGGAATAGAGGTGAGGTGTCTGTGTGGAAATGAGGCTAATATATATTCCAAAAAGCTCAAGGAGAATAGGAATAACTCAAAATATGGGATGATTCACTGCAGAAAGGTCATTTATTTTTAACAGAAATGCTCCCATAAAAGTCAGTAATGTGGCCTCATCACACTCCCTGCTATGATTCTGCTCACTTATTTCTTGATAGGCTGGAATATGCTTCTTCGATTTCCATGTCTTTACACGCATTCTTTGCCTTAACACTAAAGAAACTGATTTTAAAACAGTGCCGAAGAAACCGATAAAAACTTTCCATGGGGAAGCTCTGAGTCCATGAAGAGGAAAGAAGGTGGGAGTTAAGTAGAAAGAGAAACGGATTGGTAGCCGAGAACAAACATGGAAGAGACAATTTAAAAACTGTGTTGCTCTAACCTTAGAAATAGTAGAAGTATAACAGGATAAAGGAGCGAAAGTAAACCTCATTCTCTAATGCTTTTCTGACTGAGGTAAGCATCCTACACCATAACGTCACTGCAGAAAGAAAAAAAAGAGGCCCAGCTTCAAAATTCAGAGTCATGACTCCGAAAAGCATCTTTGGAATAGTCGGTGACTTGATTTTTGTGAAAGATGACATGTTTGTCCTACTATAATATGAGCTAAAGTAATGGCAAAGAATGTCAATTTCAATAAGTTTGCCACCTCAGCTGGGAAGAAGTTTGCATTGTGTGGTTATATTCATATGATGAACTGGGAATCTGCTCCCCTTAAAGTTTCCAGGTGTAGGGAAACGTCCAGGACAGCCATGGGACTGGGCTTGCTTGCTCTGAGCAAGGTTTACTGGAACATGTGTGAGTTTCCCTGTTCTGTCTGTTTCTTTGAGCTGCACCCAGCCTAGTCACTTTTCCCAGAAAGAGGTAGTTAATTGTGAGACCCTCCTCCCCCAAGAATACTTTTGTTCGGCTTCTTGTTTGATGGGCCATGTGGCCATTTTTAAACCAGATAAACTACCGATTAGGTGGTGATGCTGATTATGAGAAAGACTATTAGGTCACTGTGTTCCCACCAATTTTAAAAGCCCTTAAGAAACACTTCAATGATTTCTAAAGTTCACTAAGGCTTGAGCCTTTTCCATAGGAGAGGGAATACATTCTGCCTAGACGGGAGGGGATTCAACATGTCTGCACAGCGGGTGGGTACCAAATGCCACTGGGGCGCTCTACAGGCTGGCGCTTCCTGACTCCCAGCGACTTTCAGGTGAGAAGCCCTGCTGGGCTGTACCTGTGTGTGTCCTCCGATGAGCCTTCAGGTGAGAACTTTTTGTGTATACTTTGTTGCATCCCTCAAAATCACATCTGTGGATGCGCCGTTTTCTGGAGTCTGGGGATTCAGACCGTCTCTGGCGTCTTGTGCTCTCAATACTAAATGGTGAAATAGAACTGGAAAAAGAAAAAGCAGAGTTATGTGGTGAGAGGCAGGGCACTCCGTGTGGGTTCTGGTGGCATGGGGACACAGTCACAGACTCTAGGAGGTGATTGTCCAGCAGTGCCATGGCACCCTGGTGTGCTGGCAGAGGATCTTAGGTGTGCCGTGAAAAGTTTTAAAGATCATTAATTAAATTAGTTTCAAAAAAAGTTCAAAGCACAGTAAGTATATTCCTTTTTTTTTTTTTTGAGGGGGTGGGTCAACATAATTTAAGTGTGTCACAGAAACTTAACTATAGGTTCAAGTGTGTGGGGAGATACAAAAGGTTGAAAAACACTGGTCAGTTTACAGCTACTTACATTTCCTGCTCCCACTTCCTTAGACACATCTTATTTCTTAACCCCAAAGAGCAGGCAGCAGGACTTATTTCTGGTGAAATTACTTCCAGGGAGAGAAAGGATGTGCTTAAAACAACAAAACACTAAGGCTAAATGAAAGCCGTGGTGGGTGAGTAAATGCCCATTATGGGTAGAAACAGTCTGGGGGTGGTACATGAACGTCTTGGTTTGGAATTCCCGAATAGCCTTGTTTTAAGAGGCCCTGTTATAGACAAATGGCAAAATGAAGGCATTTAGTAAATAACAGGAGGGTCTGAGTTGCATGTGACAACGTATGAACTTGTGTAAAATCACAAGGTGTATTTCAAAATGAGTGAGGTCAGGCTGAAAAAAAAATGACATCAGTTCATCAATAACATGACTCATGACAGGCTATTTCTGCTTGGTGAAATGTACCTGACATTTAACTCTCCTGGTTGGTGTTTTTTTTTTTTTTTTTTTTTTTGGTGAGAAATA